GTAAATGTTGAAGACGATCTATTGACTTACATGCAAATTATTTGCAACTTCCGAAGTGCTATCTCCAGAAAACATCCAGAAGATTGTATGTGCGTGTATGAAATGGTAACACCTATGCACATCGCTTAGTATTGGTAAAAATACCTTTTAAACATAATGTTAACAGTGGCGTAACGGATAATATTAGGGCCCCTCTACAAAGTTATATTTTCGGCCCCAAGCCGTACTTGAAGTCAGTTAGGCTTTGTACCCCCTAGAATCCTGCACCCCCCCCCAAGACGCGTCTTTTTGTGGGTGTATGTTACGGCACTAAATGTTAACATACTTGAACATCATACCTATTTACCTGAACTAGCTCCAGCTCATTTTTATTCGTTTTCAGTTCTAAAAATAAAATTGAAAGGGCAACGTTTCGGAAATTAAGAGAAAAGACTTTGGAGAATATGACGGATACAGGTGAAAAAACTTTTTAAAAAAGGGTTTCAAGAGTGTTTTGAACAAATGACAATATAAAAAATGTGGAAATTCAAAAGGAGACAATTTTGAAGAGCATTAGCTTAAATTTTGGTCAGCACAATAAACTAAGTTTAATTCAAAATTCCATATTTTTTTGGATTTATGCTCTCATAATAATTTCATTGAAACCCGTTTATGAAAATCGAGACAGGACACTTTTTCTTAGTAAGAATTTATTTTATATCTTTCAGAGAAAAGCATACACTTCAATTTTGCATCAAACATGTTATTGATAAATGAATTTTAAAAATCTATCGACAACAAACTCATTATTAAAATATTGCAAAAAATGTATCCTAATTTTTTTAAATTTAATGTTAAATTTAACTAATAGAATAATGTTTGGAAAAATAAATATTTAACAAATACATCAAAATATTTATAATTTACGGTTAAATAATCTAAGAAAATGTTAAATATGCAAATGTCTACATACAATGCAGATGAGAAAAGTTAAGCGATTAACATAATGATCTAAAACAATATATATTCTTCTTTCTAAGTTTATTTTTTATAACAAAATATGTCATTGAAAAGGCGTTTAAATTATTCATAAAAATTCAACACGGCACTCATTTAAATAGTTTGCGTGTAAAATAAATTCATGTTTAACTTTTCAAAAGTTACAAAAAAAGCATAACTTGCTTAGTGTGAGCTAAAAAAATTACAATATTTTTTTTATTTGCATTTAGAAAAATGAATAATGTAAATGCTTTGAATAAAAATAAAACAGCGTGAATAGAAAAAGTTGCATATAATTTGTTGAAACTATCGTTGACAGAATTAGATGCAGTTTTGCCTTTGTATAGATATGTATACTTACTATACTGTTCGAATTAATTGGGACACAAATGGTAAAAAAAAACAACGATTTTTTCTAAACCCCTAGTTTTTAATCATTACATACTTTAAGTAAACAGAAAAATCTCTATATTAGTACGAAGTATGTCCTGTAGCAGAAATGACCTCTTCAACTCATCTTGGAATTGGCTCCACTAATGCAGCGCACATATTCTTAACTTCATCATCATGGAACCACATTTGTATAGCACTATTTATCATTTGTTCTATTGTCGTGCAACTCATCTTAGCTAAACGATTCTGGAGAATATGCCATAAATTCTCAATAGGATTTAGATCTGCCCCAGTAAGCACTTTTATTTTATATTCCCGTTTATAAGTCTGGATCAATATCGAATTTAAATATTTCCTAAGACCATCAAATATTTCCATGGATGAAACAGTTCATGCCTTTAAAAGGAACTAAGCTTCCAGTGACATTTGTTGTGAAAAACCCCAAAACATCTGTTTAGAAGGGTATTTTACTATCTGTTGGATATGATCTGGTAGTAGAGTTTCAACTTCAATTCGTCTAACTACACTAGATTCGTATCCCTAAACAAATAAATGGGTTTCATCACTGAAAATTACTTTCTTCTAACCGTCAGCAGTCCAGGATCGGTATTTTTGGTCTATGCTGATTGTTTTTCATCATTTTCTGAGTTAGAAATTGCTCTTTTCCTTGGTCTTGATGCCTTACGGTTAACTTCCAGAACCATTTTCTGTACAGTTGAGGTTTTTCAACACCCTAATTCAATAAATCCTTTCGAAGGTACGGGCTTGTCTTTGATTTGTTTTGCTATTAAAATTTTATCAATTCTTAGAGTAATTTTCTGTTTGAGCCCACGTTTTCCTTTTCTTTTTGGAGACGTACATCAGGAATCTTGAAATGTTTTTAAAGTTCTTGAAACACTTCATTTGCCCACATCAACTACCGCAGCTATGTCTCTCACAGTCATAGAAGTGTGTTCATGAAAAGCGATTATTTTATGACGCTTCCTCGGAGTAATATGTCTCTGAACAAGCAAAAGTAACAAGCGTTACGTAGAACGAAAATTATAACCACACTTAAAGGCTCACAACTGAACTACTGATGTACTATAACCAATCAAACGAGTAAATTATAGTCAAGGTCGATCCGTCACATTACTTCTGGGCAGATATAACCAGTTTGAGGTGGTTCGGGACATAACTGGTTATCACATACCAATTCAGACAAGGAAAAAAAAGTTTGTACCAATTAATTCGAACAGTATAGTATATATAGTCCTTTTTCTTACACACGCACATGTAAACAGAAGAAAATATACTCATTCACTTACTACTCACGAGATCTCTAAAGATATTAGACCTACAGGCTTGAAATTTGGCAAACATGTTTTCTTTGTAAAGAACGGCTTTTATCGAAATCGCCTCTCAAGTAAGGTTGCAGGAAGTAAAGGGAGAGTAGAGATTAAAAAATCCCCTTTTAATTAATATACCTACAGACTTTAAATGTGGTAAGCATATTTCCTTTGTTGAGTAGCGATCTGAAAAGAACAAGTTTTGTGGAAATCGACTCCCAAAGAAAGTTGCAGGGACGCTTTAGAAGTAAGGAAAGACCCCTTTTTGAGCTATTAAACCAACAATCTTGAAATTTGGCAAACATGTTTCTTTTGTTGAGTATTAATGTAAACTGTTAGCTAGTATTCATGTCACACACTTCTTTTTTATTAATTATTTTTTTTTAAAAAAACTTTAATTCGTTTTTATTGTTTAGTGTCGTATTTCTTATTTCCTGGTAACTTTCAGAATTCTTTTACAACTGAAATGGAAGAAAATTTTATCTTTTCTATCGACGAAAAACTTATTCCTTTGAATTGCATTTCCATAGAATTTATTTTCCCGGTTCTCATGAAGTTATATGAATTCATACATTTTATTCAAATATTTTACGATTTTATCTTTCCTTTTTAAAATTCAGTCCCCGATTTATGGAGGGCATTCGAAACATATTGAAAGAAATCACTAAATTTATATCGCGTCTTTATTTTCGTTCGTTTGACAGAAAGGAATTTTTGGAATTTTGCATAACAAACTCGTATTTTTTCAGCATGGAATATTGCGCCACAAAAATCATTAGCAAGCCAAAATTGAAGAAAAATGAAAAGCGGGATATCTAAGAAAAACTGCGACCACAAAGACATCGTCCACAAAACGAGACGATGTCAAGTGTTTACCAAAGGGCAACCCGCCAAAAAAAGATTGTTAGTTCTGAATATGCAGGGTACACAGACTTGACTACAGTCCAAGAAAATAAATCATCCGAAATTGTAAAAGAAACCCTGCTAGGAGCAGAAACGGACTAAAAGTAGTCTTAACAGAAAAGGCATTAAAGGGTCTCTCTTTTATCATGAAATCTGGAAAACTGCGAAATGAAATTTTTGCAGCTGTAATTTGACGATATATCTTTTCGAGCTATTGTGATGATTTTGCCCATTTGAATATTTTCATATACAACTAAAATTAAGTTAACGTTAAAAAAATAGTTATAATGATAACTATAAAGTCGATTAAACTGTAAAACACAAAGTTTATTTTTATTGTAAACATTTAGTTTGGATATTGCTTTATCTATATATATATAAATGGATGTGTGTATATATGACCTCGCTTCCCTCCAACACCGTTCAACCGATCACTATAAAAATTGGTGTCTGTATGGATTTTTTTGTGCTATCCTCTTTAATCCAGCTCCCCACCAGGTGGTGCTACAGCACATCAACTTCTGTATCGTTCAGTCCATCGCCAAGTTGCCGACATGATCGCCAAAAATGATGCCAACTTGGCTCCAATGCCAATATTTCGCTATGTTTCCATTAAATCGCTATTATAATGTAAAGAATGGCGTTGCTTGCGAATATTACAATTTTATCATAAAATAAATACAAGAGAAATATTAACGTATTACGCATCCAGATATAAATTATGTACACTATTTTAAGCGTTCATTGCACAAAATTTGTAACAATGTGATACTTTTGCTGATCAGCTTAGGAAGGTGCTTTCGAAAATCGACCCACAAAAGAGTTACGGGGCGCTATAAATAAAAAAATCTTTTTATCAGCTATTAGATCTACAAACTTCAAATTTAACAAATATGGTTATTATTTTTTTTTTTTTTGGTTCAGTTGAGATATGCAAAAAGCTTTTTTTTTGTGTGTTGTTGTTTAATTTGCAATTCACGTAAAATTAACTCTTTAAAAACTTGTTTATCCTTCAATCTGTATTATTTAATTTTTCAATTCTCCCGTGCAAGGAACGGGTATACCAGCTAGTTATGATGTAAAAGTACAAAGCGTAATTCAACGCTTATAAACTAAACGCTAACGAAAAGGTAAAATACTGGAAAATTTTAAGTACTAAGTGTCATAATGCTAACGATATGATTTTTTTTTGTTCAAATTTTCAATTGTTAATAAAATACTTTCTATTCATTCACACATTCAAGTTCAAATACATTTTTTTAAAACTTGTAGTGGATGACACTTAATGTTAACACAGTTTTTTGAAATATTAATTTACTAAAATTAAATTAAAAATGAATAAATTGCAACAAAAATAAAAGTTCAACAGCATATATAGAAAGGAAACACGTTCGTTGTGTCCCTGTAGCACAATGGATACCTCGTTGGACTTCTAATTCAATGGTCGTGGGTTCGAATCCCACCAGGGTTGGCCTAATTTTTGAGAAAGGGATTTCTTTTTTACTATACTATTTTATTAGAATAATTAAATTTAATAAATGAATAAATAGTAAGAAACAAATAAAAAATAGTCCAACACTATATATAGAATGGAAAAAGGAAAATTGCAAGAAAAATCTCTTTCATAGAATGCGATCCATGCAGTATATGATACTGGACACTATACAAATGTTGAAAATCATCCCATGCGGGAAACGGGCTTGAAGAAAAATCCAAATAGGCGTAAAACGTTGCAATTTTACCTTGATTGTGGAAACTAATCACTTATTTTTCGCTGTACCATTGTACACCTTCGTTTTTTCACTGCAAGGCCTTTGATTCTCTTCAGCAGCAGTAATTGAGTAGGACAGCACTCTGATTGTTGTTCGCACCACTCCATAGCTGTCTCTAACGCAGAAACGCGTCAGCATTTGATGGCCCCTTGTTACTTTCGTTGTTGCTGTTGTTGTCCTAGTCTTCATCCGTTTCATCGTCAACAGGGTCGGATTCTTCTTGCACGGAAGTCACTATCTCGTCATTATTTAGCTTTGAAATCCACAGTCTTCTGCATCGCATGCTATCCAGGTTTCTACATCAACAAAACTCAACAAAAGAGAACGCATACACCCCTTCACTTGGAAACTAACTGAACTAATATTCCGCGCACATGTTTACCAAATCACACAACTGAAATTCCCCAAATATCCCCCACCTTGGGTTTTCCCGTCACTTTCGGCCTCACAGGAAACAAATGTTGAGTATCGCACTGTTTGAAAACGTATCCGGACTTTGGTTCGTATATTTGACGCTCCGGATAAGAAACGTTCGGATAAACGACGTTCTACTGTACTATATATTTATTGATTGATATCAATAAACATTATGTTTTCATTATTCTCTTTTAATAATTAACTCTTTTCAATAATAAAATATTCCGAGTTATATCTACTCAAATATGCCGTCAGTTAAATACGATAATATCTGTTACTAATTATTCAAATCATGTAGTTGAAAATATTGAGAATTTTTCGATATTTTTAACAAGAGACTTAATACGATACTTGTTTGTTTTTTCCTCAAATCTAAGGCCATAAAAATATTATGGGTTAAAATTAAAGAAATAGATGAGGGAATGAAACTCAGCATTATGCCAAATCCAAAGTAATCAAAGCCTTTTTCAAATAAGCATATCAAGGAGATTGCCAAAAAAGACTATCCTTGCGTAATGTTGAATACCAAGAATCAAAATCAGAACATTTCAAACAAAATGGAATATTTAAATTAATACCATATTCTATTCACCATCTTCTAGAGAGCAGAGAAATAAAAACAAGGTATTTCTGTTCGATCTATTTATTATAAAAAAATTTCTCCATTTTTTTTACATAACAAAATTAATTTTTAATCTCAAATAAAAATTATACATTCATTAATATTATTATTAAGACGCATTTAAATCTAAAAATATGAAAAAAAATTCTTAATTACTTCCAATTTTTTAATAATTTTAGTTGTTTAATAGTAAATATGTTCAGAACCTCCACGCAAAAACTACTAAGATTATAATTACAAATTATCTGCAAAATTTTAAATGTTTTAGTTATTTTTAAATTCAAGCAAATATTTATGAAATAGTAATTTTTTTCGAACAATTTTTATTTCAGTCTATGAAAGAAACTATAAAAAAACCCCGATGTTTTAAGCTATTCATATTCCTCTAAAACGTGTATAATTGTTCAAATTGTAGTTCTTTAAAGGAAACTTTTTTTGCTGAAGTCAAAACCTATTTTGTTTAGTTTTTTTTTAATATTATTTATCTTCTTTAGAGGTTAAGTTGCCACATTGCACTGAGCTTCAAATTTTCTTAAAACAATACTTGAAAAATACCAGATTTTAGTAGTAAAGTTACTTCACTATTTAAAACAGGGGTGTCAAACTCAAAGGGTAACTAGGCCAAACAAACTAAGTTCAACTTTAGGTGGGCTGCAAAATATATAATATATATATTTATGCAGACACAAGTTTATTTCGAATAATACATTATAATAAACATGTATAAAAGAACAAGAAAAATGTAATGCTTACGCCCTGCCACTTTATATCTTTTCTCTGCTACTATCTTTACAATTTTGTGGGATTTTTTTTATTTCGTTATACATTATTTTGTGTTAATATATTGGCCGGGCCGTGAGTTTGACATCCCTGGTTAAGAAGCATTCTCATTTGGATTGTTATGAAAGAGAAAATGTAGTTATTTTAGCATTAAACAGGGGTCTTAAGCAATCACGTCTGGAATTATGAATTACAGAATTTCTAAAATTACCTACATGAAAGGATTCAAAATTACAAACGAATATTTCAATGGTATATTATATAGCAAAGTGTACAGAAATATCTCTTTGACCATAAAAAAAGGAAATTACAAATGTATGATATTGTCATGAAAAATTAATAACTCAAGAAAAATTACTAATCTTAAAATTTTAGATGAATGGACTATTTGCCGTATTACTTTTTCAAAGGAAAGTACAAAAATAACAATCAATTGTTGAAAGAATCAACTAGTATGTTTTAAAAAAAATTATTTTTTTATAATATATCTTTTATAAGGGGAAAAAAACTATTACATAAAGTTTAGAAATTACAGCAAACACAAAATAAATAAAACAGCCTACACTCTTTAAGAAAAAAAATTCGTTTTTTAATTATATGATAATTAAAAAAGTATTCTAAGCTTTTGTGTAGATTTTTATTAAAATAATGATTTAGAATTTTTAAAAAATATATTTTTATTACTCTTATCGAAGATTAACTTATCAATTTTGGGGATAATATCAATATATTTATTATTATATTTATTAATAACAGATTCACATACACACACATATTCATAGATTCTAGATAATTATTGTTAAAAACGCTTATATAAATTTGAATTCAATGTTTTTTCCACTGTTTTCTTTTTTAAGATTCAATAAAAAGGCAGATTTATAGGATTTTATGCAACATTCAACTGTAAAACATTGATAGAAAATTAAAAATCAAATAATTTCATAAATTTCTACTCGAATTCTTATTAATCTATATAATATCAAACTGTTTCATGCGGAGTCGTAACACTATAGCAAATTATTATTGCAAATTGTTGTTCATTGTATTGGACTGATACATATAGGAACGCATAATATAAATTGAAAAAAGAAGTGTTTTTAAAAATTAATGGAGAACATTTTTCATTTGGTAATAACAAAAGTTCTTCCTCATATTTTGTTCAATACGCATTTCCAAAAGAACCTTTATCAATCATAATTTATTTTTCCGAGATAAATTGCGGAAAAAAATTTTTACACTTTATAGTTTTTTCGAACTATATACTACTATTCTTTCGCCTAAGTTTCCTGTGATTTTTATTCGCAATATAAATCATAACAGTTTTTATAGTTTTTCTTAGCATTCAATTGTCGTAGTAGTTTACACACGCATGAGAAGAAATAAAGTTAAAACTATTTATTAATCCATAAATAGAATGATTTTTGTGATTTGAATAAAACTATGAAAAGTTAAAAATTTATTTTTTAAATACGAATAAACTAGGCAGTTGAATTCACTAATGACATTGTAAAACCATTTTAATGTTAAATTAATTAAAATATTGAAGCAATTCAAGTACAGACTAGAAAAAATTTCAATATTTACTCAAGAAATAAAATTTCATTGTAATTCAATTACCTTAGAAATACCGTCGTAGTAGAAGGAAAACTTCTTCACGATATTCTTCTATAAAATGTTTTTTTTATTTAAAAAACTCTGCTAATACTTAATTTAGCAAGAATTCTGTGTAGAGAAGGATATCGTAAGTCGTAATCCAATCTTTAAAAAAAATGGCTTCTATTTTTTTTAAAAAAAGTTCTGTTTATAGTGTTAGTTAACTTTTTTCAGAACCTTTTTCACTGAGTAAATATTTTTATCTTTTTCTAGTAATACAATAAAAAAGCAAGAAACAAACGTTTTTTTTTAAAGTAAAAACACAACCAAATACATTCGAACTTAAAAAAAAACAGGCGGGAAAAGAAAACACAAAATATTTTCCTTTCCCAGAACCGAATTTTATTCGATAACTTATAGGCACGTTTCGATGACAGAAACAAGACAAGGCGTTCTTTCAGTATTCTACGGCTTTCTCGAAACCGTAAAAAAATGTAAAAAAAACTTCAGCAAGTGTTTCAAAATTGAATTAAAGTAAACACCTTATCGCTGACGTCATAAAAAATGCAGCAAGAACTAACCCAGAAAGTGTTTCGATACGTTCTAGGAAATGAAGTGAAGTTGTAAATTGTCTTCTTTAGATTTTTCAAGATTGTCGCCAGCGAGGAAATTTGTTGACAAGCGTGTATTTTTTTTCACCTTCTGTCTCTTAGGTTTTTATCATCGAAAGAACTGATAGAACAAATATGGTAGAATTCTATAACAATCCGTACGTGTTTTAGAAAATATTTTCTTTTATGATAAAAAAAAAATCTTATTATTTTTCTACCCGGAGGCAGGAGATATTCAGGTATAATATGAAAATTTAATAGAGTTGTTACGTCATATTTTATGTGAAAGCAATGAAAATCGGGTGGATATGTTGATTCGCCTTTATTTATTTTAGTAGATATAAAGTAGAATGAAAAATACATGGACATAAAATTTTACAAATTCAGCTTCAAATATTCAATTTAGTTTAATATTTATTCTATAGATTGGAAGATGAAAATTCTAGATCTAAGACAAGAGGAAAAATGCAACTATGCCAAACAATGGCGATAAAAGCAAAGGAATCATTTCAAGAAGAAAAAAAATTCACAACAATGTCTTTGTCATGTATAAAACATCAGACTTTATCAAATTCCAGATTTATAGTAAATATATCATTTACGTACTCCAATCATAACAAACAACAATATTTATGGATCTTTTCTTTTATACCTAACATATTCAAAACTTAAACAA